TTAGACTTGAGGAAAGTCTACAGATGTGTACTATAGAAACCAGAAATCTAGGTATTTCTCAGTTGAATGAAAATGAGGTAGGTTCAGAGCCGGTGTTGAGGAAGTCAGATTCTGAAACCACAGAGTCCCACTTAAACAATAATTCTGATCTTAAACGACATGAGTCTAAAAACAGAGAAGACTCTCAAGTTAGGAAAGGGAAGCATGAGAAGGCAAAACTGGAAAAACCTAAAACTTCCAGACAAACACCGAAACAAGGACAGGCTAAAGGGGCTTCCAAGAAAAAGTTGGATTTCTTGGGTTGCTTCAGTGATGCGTACGACTTTCATTTGGAAGAGAGTGTCCATCTTACACCTTTTCGACAGAATAAGGTGAATGACACCGATAGTGGTGTGGATGACAAAAATGACTTATCTGAAACCAATACCATCGAGACAGATGATATTGAAGAAGATTCAGATGACAGCCTCTATGAGCCGTACAAGAGTAAATCAAAAAGAAGGAAAAGTGCAGTGGACAAGATAGGTAGATTACCAGTCTGTGCAAGGCCAAGGTCTAAAAGATGTTTGGCACAGCGTGAGCAGAAACTCCATGATGAAAAAGAGACCAGAAGCAGTAAGTCAAGTGACAAGTCTATTACTAAGTATAAAAAGTGTTCTGTAATTGGTTTTGTTTTCTTGAGAGATAACATTCTGTAAGAGATTTAGACTTTTTTATTTTAGGGTTGTTTGTTTTGTTTTTTTTAATAAATACTAACAGATTAATGTTACAGAAAACATCAGATCAATTATTTAGCTTTTTTTTCCCTTCGGCAGATTGGAATCAAAGACATGTCTTGTATAAGCAATTGGTCAACAATAAATCAATACTGGATTTTAGATGTGCTTAATGATGTAGTAAAGCTGAGGACAAAAGAGGGGAGAACAAAGTATAAAATGACGTAAGTGGAACAACCAATCACACTTTGCTGGGCACTGCCTAGTGTCAACTTGTTTTTCCAAACTAAAATCCTGCGCTTGTTGATCCTCTTACGTATTGTTAAGTAGTACAACGTGAAGATAATAGCTACAGCTGAAAGTTACTTCACATCTAGTGTTCACTGATGTTCTCTTTTAAGCTAGCTTGCCTGAATTGTTGTAAGTGTGCCTAATTTCATCCCAGGGCAGCCTTCAGAGCCATCTCATGGTCATCTTTGCAATGTTACCAATACTGCTTCATTGCTCACCAGCACTGGGAATGCAGCTGTTGTCCCAGAAGGTGAAGGACCACGATCTCCAAAACGCAAGCGAAGCTGTGCTATTACTGTGTGCTATAAAGAACCAAGTATTGCAGGGTAGGTGTCTTACTTTCCAGTTTGATATAAAGTTCATCATATTCCATCAAATGGGGGATTTGAGGGGGTAGCTTAAATATTAGAAAGAATTTCTTAAGAAAGCATTCAAGGAGAGGTCTGATGTTAGTAAGATGAAATAGTTCACATGTGTTAATTGATGTTCGGAGTGAAACTCAATTTTTTTGTTTTTTAATTTTTATTTTTTTTTTTTTTTAGGAAACTCAGAAGAGGGGATCCATTCACAGACACAAATTTCCTGCATTCTCCAGTTTTCAAGGAGAAAAGTAACGCCAAGTGCCCTTCTCTTAGGAAAACATCTCTGTCGAAATACAGTGAGAAAGTTGTTGGCCATCGTTGATATTTCCAGTCACAACAGCAAAACCATGCTGGTTCCATGAAGAAAGGAAATATCCAGGAAATTATTGTTGCACAAGATTTTGCATAAATATGCCATTATTTCTACGTGTCTTAATGTGAAGGGGGGGCTGGTTTCCATCCAGTGACTTTTTCATGATCTAGAAGGCACAAGGCTACCTTTGTAACTAAGGTGATTCCATTCAAACCCTTTTGTGAGAAGGCATTTTGTAATGTAAATTTGTAAGTTATGTTACAGTTTTGTAACTTATAGCCTGCTTGTTTGGACACTTAAGATCAAATGGTTTAGTGTTTTGGGTTTTTGTTGTTTGGTGGTTGTTGTGGGCTTTTTTTGTGTGTGTTTATAACCATATTTGTACAGCTCTTCTTGTAACTGGTTATAAAGGTTGTAGCTTCATCTTGAAAGTTTCTAATAAATGTTTTGGTCATTGTAAACACATCTGTGATGGCTGGTGTTCTAGCAATTTCTGTATTTGCTTCAAATATAGCAATGTATAGCACAGGAGTGCAGCAAACTCGTGTGCTCCTTCCCCATCTTCTGTGCCATAAGCTTTGTCAGTTGAAATCCGATTACGTAGCTGGAGCTCTCTCAAGTAACAATTTTTAGGGTTGCTTGGTACTGCTGTTTAGAAGAGTTACTAACTTTGTCCCTGTGTGGTCACCGGTGAAGGTCGTGAACAGTGGTCTACTTTGGTTGATTGTAAATTGATTTTATGGGACTTCATAATAAAAGCTTCAGCTACAGAGTGTTTGAAACATACTTGTTCACAATTAGATGTTGGAACTGAAACTCAACCTTCCATTTGTATCCTAAAATTCTATGTCTGGGTGTTACTATACTTCTTAGTACTACAGGAACATGGGCAGAGTCATTTAAGTTTAGGTGCTCTTTACTTTCAGCAACTGAATTTGTAACAGCTACTTATGAGGGACAGAAAAACAAACAAGGTGACAGCAGAGCAGCCTCACCCGGTGGTGAAGTGCATCTGGCTTGGGGGGTTTGTTTTTGCATTAAGTTTGAAGAATTGCAGTTCCATTGCAGCTGCAGGACGAAGTCTTGAATAGTCTGAACTGCTTCTCAGAAGGCTCCAGAAAAATGTCTAAGCCTCTTTAGACCACTGTTTGCTACCCTCTGAACAGTGTACACTTTCACATGATGTGGCACAGGACTAAATCTTAGTGGATGGGGAGGAAATACATCTTCATACTGTCTAATTGTCTGTTAGGTATTAGACACTTGCAGGTTTGTTTAGCATATGCAAAAGAAGTGTACCATCTGAGTAACATGGTGAACGTGGGTAAGTACTCTTCATAGCCTGCAGTGTGCTCCCCTGTAAACTGGTTTGTGACTAAAGGAAGGACTTTAGTAGGCAAACATGAGAAAACAGCAAGAGCACACTTTGAGGTTAAAAATCAAGTCCTGAACAGCTCAAAGAGTTGTTTGAGACATTAAAGAGATGGGAGGAACTCCACCTCGCTCAGTTAGCAGAGAGATGGGAATGCTAGCTGGAATAGCCACAGCTCTCCATGCTGAAGCCTCAGCTCTGCTTAACGCTGTGTATAGTTGTACTGGCATAACTAAGTAATGAAAAAAGACCAAAATAAGTAGGGGTTTGTACATATATAATTTAAAACTATTCTGTACCAGTACAATATATTAATTTTACAAATGTAAAGTTCATCAGCTGTTAAAGCATTTGCAAAACCACATATCCTAATGTAACTTTATTGCACAGTATCTATGAAAATATTAATTCTTAAATTAGAAAACAAATGTTTCAATATAGAAGAGACAATCTGATTGAAAGACAATAAGAAAATCTAGTCTGAAAATAACAAAAGTTCACAGGATGCTAAGCTTAATAGGTGCATCTGTAGGCCCAATCTACAAAACAGGATTACAGCTTCCAGTACTGGCTATTAAAAGAAAAACAATGCTCACTGTACCTTTATTACAGATCCAATTGTGGGTCAGACTAAACTCATACAAAACACTATGGTAAATCTAGTGTTAACATTCTGAATACTTGTGTACCACATTTACTACTTCCAGGTTGTTCCTGACATCTATTCGCAGAATCGAGTTGTGATTTAACATTGCACAGGCATTTTGCAGGAATATATTCTTTGACACGGCGTAGGATTGGGTTTTATTCAGTCTTACAGCTATTGAATTTTATCAGTGTAACATCTGTAAATATAAAACAGCAAGAACAAAAGTTGGATCTGTTTTTCACAAAAGCAATTATAATTTACAGTTACAAACTCTAATTAGAAAATGTCAAGTGACAGCTTTTTGGCCTGTACTGACCTCCATTAGGAAGTTAGGTGTACCTCTTGAATATGGTGTAAGCAGCAAAGTATATATGTAAGTGCTTATTTTGAAGATATACTAACATGAGTTGTAAAATGTCAATATATTCCTGGGTCTAACTAATCACGTTTAACAAGCATTTACAATACAGCTTGGTAGAAAACCCAGTTTACCACAGAGCCAAGTATATGAGCTAGAAGCTGTCATATGCTGGCTTCTTTTAATAGTCTTATCTCTGCTAAATAACCCAAAGAATTTATCAGTGAAGAGTAGTAAATAGGGTGGGTCATGAAGTGCAGCAATACCTTAACTCCACTAAGGCAACTGACATTGACTAGCATAGGTGAATCAGATTCTCTGAAGTTCATTTGGATACTTATGTCCTGCATAAGCCAAGTCACTATGATATTACACACCTAGCCAGATTTTTTTTTTGTTTTTAATAGTGGTTATGAGATTACAGGTA